TTATTGTACTTAGAGATCTTCCTAATTATTTTTAATAAAATTCACTTTCAAAATCGACTTATCATTTGTTCATTATTAACTTATAAAGTCATGGTCAAACATTTTATCAGGAACGTGAAATTGTAACAACAATTTGTGACTAAAAAATAATCGTTCTCGTTGAAAAGACGTTCACACCCTCCCTTTTATGGCGAGCGACTTGCAAAATTTTTGAGTTGCTTCATCGAGGACAAGCATCTTAAGAGTAGGTGTGTGCTTCAATGTTATCGTTATAAATTATTTGAGTAGGATCCTTCTTTAAAAGTAACTTTTAAATGTAGTTGTTTAGCTGGTAATACTTAGGAAGCGTTTGTTTTTCATTTTTGTAAAAATAAGAATGAAAAATATAGTCGTTATAGGCCCCATACAAGAGATAGAAATTCAAATTTGGTGATTTGATGTGATGAATAACGATTATATTTTTTATTTTAATGGAGAAAGAATGGGAAACAAATGGGGACTTAATCCCGTGAAAACTAACAAACGAGGGCTTAATCCTGTGAAAACTAAGCCAAATTTATAGATGGATAATAACAGTAAAGGCTGAAAGAAAATTTGTAAGAAATTCTAATTTTGAAGTAATAATTTGGAAAACGAAAATAGTGAAAGTCATGTCAAGAAAATGAAAGATTTGTTAAGTGGTAATGTGGTATTATTCCCTTCACCATACACTCTTTTTGGCTTCGAGAAAGGTTGACAAATAATATTAGGCCATGTTTGGTTTGGATTGAATTTTTGATAAAGATCTAAATCAAAATCAGAAATTAATTTTAACTATATATTTCATTGGACATACAATATTTCAGACCAAACTAAAATTTGATTTTTAGCTGTACCAAACAGGCCGAAGATGTTCTGCGAAAATTGCACCATTAGTCCTTAATGTATTATTTCAACAGCTAGTAGGTCCTAAACTTTAAAAATAAATAAATTGATCTTCAAACTTTCATATAGTTGCACAATCAACACTCAATGATGTCATCCGTCTACATATTTATTAAATTGTCATCTGGTCGTCATAGAGCATATCTCATTTTAAATTTCTAGACATCGATCCAAGTTAAAATGTAAATCTAAATTCATAAAGTTAAATATGAGAGGGTCGTATGAATATTCAATAGAATTTAGACATTTATTATAACTGGAGACTGATTATGCAAATAGAAAGAAATGTTAGAGACCGAATTGCTAATTATGCAATTTTTCTATTGTTTTGACTAGGTGACACTGAATCAAATGCAATTATTCAATGTTGGTCCACCTTCATGGTCTCTTTACCCCTATCAAGTTGATCTTTCGATTATGGGATAATCTTGCTGGAGTGACGAATTCAATGACTGAGAGAACACGTGTCAATATATAATTGGACAATTTGAACCAAAAAAATACAACATCCAATCACGGTCTGTCACACCATTTGTCACTCCATTCCTATCATTGCCCCTGTCCAAGGAACGCTATTCATTGTGGGATCCTTGGATGTCCATGATTGGGGACCGTTGTCCTTCAATATGATTTAGAGTCTATACAATATGTTTGATACAATGATATTGCTTGACATGTATACCATATTATGTTTTCTTTATTTTTTTATTAATAAACATATCGTTCAGGATTGAGAAATAATAATAAAGCAATATATTCGACAATTATTTCCAATTGTGACTAGCTTAAAGCATCTTCCTCTTGAATACAAATAACGTTAGACACGAGTTGCAACCTTCTTAAATCAACAAGTAATGAACTCGTATGTTGTATTATGGTAAGGAATAATTTTGAACTACTCTGCATATATATTCTCGTCGAGCTGCAAACGGTAAACATGTTATTAGTTTTATAGAACTCATTCACCCTTGTGGTCAAGGCATCAAGCCAGTTCGCCACATCGTAAGGTTGGCTCGAGAACATTGTCAAGTCAAGAAATTTTTTAATGTGAGTCTTGTATGAGAGTATAAATTTAGAGTGACATTTTCAAATTCGTGTGCTCAACACCTCAACCAATGATTTTAACCTAAAGAATGAGCTAACAAATATCCCCTAATAAATGATCGATTAAGAAGTATTACATTAAGAGCCCGTTTGATTGTAAAAATAGAATTTGGATGGAAAGAAAACGAATTTTAGATAATTGAATTACCTAGAACTTGTTTAATTGGAAATTGTCAATTAGATGTGTTTGATTGGTATAATTTTTCACCTAAAAAATATTGAAATTTTGGATCTTTTGACGTTCATTTGACTGTGTTTTTCATGAAAATTGTCAATTAAATGGATATAATTTATTACAATTGTGAATAAAATTTGTTTTCATTGTCCAAAAAAAGATGCTGGAAATTGAATTCCCTAAAAATCAAGAAATTTAGGTCACGTCAGGGGATGGAAAACGTTTTCTATGGAATTTTTTGGCCATCAAGCATACATTTTTTTGGTGGAAATTTTCCCACGGAAAAACAACCCTAACAAACAGGGCCTGAATGTTGATATCATTTATCTACTCTGTTTGTTGAATATTAAAATCAATTTTTTTATAGATTTTGATGAATGCTGATGAAATGTGTGATTAAAAAAGTGATGGAACATATGAAATATGTTATTAAAATTAATTGTTGACTTCGATTTATATTAAAATTTGAATTTTAATAATTACCAAACAGGGGCTAAAAATGGCTATCCATGCCCTTGTTTGAGCCATATTATTTCGATAGGCATGTATTTTTGAATAGTGTATTGATGAGAAATGTGTGATTAAAAAATAAGAAAAAAATTAAATTTATGTATAATATTATTTTATTGAAAAATATATAATTGAACTGATATCATATTACTATTTAAAAATGTATTTTTTTGATAGAATGTGAATCAGCCTAGAATTTTGCTTTGATTAAAAAATCTATTAGATTTTTAATCACTAATCAACTTTTTTGTTTGTCTTATATGACCTAGTGAGACTACAACATCGAATTTGTGACATGTTTGTACTTTGTCATATAGTACACACCAACCAATGAAAGTGAAATACATATGTATTTCCTGACATGCTTGTAAGAACCACAGTGTACACGTGTCGACATATGAATGGTAGAGCGTGGCTTGCATATGACCTCGCTTGCCCATATTCATGTCAGCGAGCAGTGATTTGATTTTGATACCATTGTCACTGTGCAAATAAAAATAAAAATATTTATGGTAATTTAAATTTGGACTCTTCTACTTTTGCTATACTGTGGTTATGTACTTCAATATTTAAAAATGTGTCTTAATCTCTAATTTATCTGAATATGTAAATTTATCAAATGAAGAAAATTGTTCGCACGTAGATTTGAGTTGATTTTGAGATAAAAGTTAAGTAATTTGATGATTCTATCATTTTATTGTGAGTCATATGGGATTCTAACATTGATGGTTTCAACAGCTCGAAATTTTGAAATCTAAATTGACCAATTTGAAGGTTGGTATCCATAACCACATCAACAAAATAAAAGTTGAGAGCCCAGCCCTACTTTTTCCAATAATGAGTAATGTTTTACCAACTCCAACTCCATCAAATAATCCGATTTTCCCCCACTACGATAAGAAATTTATGAAGACGAAAATTATAACTACACAAATTTATGGAATCAAAACTCTTAATATTTGTATCAGGATACATTAAATTTCATTGACCAATTTGATTCAACTACGTCTTAAGGGAGCACACAAATTTCAAGATTCATATGCTCAAACGAGTCACCATCTTGACTAATGTTAATATATGATTTATTATTGGTTAACTCATTTTTTATCCATATGTTTCGTGAAATTCATCAGTATTATTCAATTATTCATCGTTTATTTTTATCTTTAATTATTTAACATGTTCTAACATACTATTCTTCATGATTTAGATGAAAGGAACAAGGGTGAATCTGTGTGCTACAAGTACTGTGAACATACAAGTTTCAAAGACAAGACCGTTTACATTCAAACACAAGAGCCACTAATTCTTGAAAGCTCTTTAATGGTCTCTTTTTGTTCTAATTCAAATAAAAATCTGCAATGACCCTACCTTCAAAAATCTCCATTGTCCCACCACGTGGTAGCATTATTATTGTGAAATCGTATGTTCATGACTATAGTCCTATAGATGAAATCATAAAAGAAATAATCCATCATGACTTAAACATGGAGGTCAATCCTGTAGTAGATGTCACAATTGATAGGGTTGTTAATTGGTCTAATATCATGGTTGAACTGAGTTGGAGGATTGATTTGGTGAACACATCATCTTCTATCTATGTCTACTTACACGGCCGTTTTGTGAATTGATCTAAAAAATTCTTCATCGTGTCAAGTTGAAGTTACGAGACCTGCAACCCGAATTAAATAACTCGTTAGCTACTAAACACGTGCAATATATACTGATTATGATTCACTTTATAAATGTTATATGAGAATATAGAAATAAAGTGAATTGGATTACAATCATTCATCCTATTGGCACAAGCAGCACCATAAGGATCATACTAGACCAAAGTTCTAAGCCTTGTGACTCAATTAGGCTGGATTTTTTTATTTTTTTATTTTTTTGGCCTTTTTGAAATTTCTTTCAAATATTTCCCTCGAAATCTTGAACGATAATTTCATTGAGATTTTCTTGCAATTTTAAAATATATTTTTTGTTCAATACAACTTAGTACGATCAATAATTGACTGTGTTGAGTCGGAATTTCTCGGCAACCTTAATTAACACCTGTTGACTAAGCAACTTGTATATGCCTTGTAAATGGACTGATTTGCTACTGTTGGAGGGCCGACATTGGAGTTCAAACTTATTGAAATGAATCGTGCCCCGTGCCCCTCCAATGGAGGACGTCAATTCAACCCCCTGGATGGATAAGGCCAGCATGACCCTGTCCAAATAGCTTTTTCCTATTGAAATTATTGGCCAATGCTTAGGACCACAATATGGTCCACAAAATGGTACTAGCAAACACTCATTTTCACTTATTATTGTCCATACTTAATTTGCTATATATTTGTATTCAAACAAGGGACGACCACGCACGCATGTTGGGATGTCACGCCACGATCTTAGCTTTTGTGGCTACATTTGGTCGCACAAATTGACCTCAAACTAAGAAATGTCACATTTAACAATAAATTGATCTTAATTCACATTGTCGCATATTATGTATTATATTGATTATTGGCACAATAAA